CAAGACACTAAACGTCTACATCACATTGCTTCCTTCAAACATTTGGCTTCTTTAGCTCTCATAAAACTCCATACCCAACACATTCTACTTCAATTGAAGAACACATATTTTTCATTTTCATATTATTTTCTTGAGAGTGCAAGACAAACAAAGAAATGGGAAGAGCACCATGTTGTGAGAAGATGGGAATGAAGAGAGGACCATGGACTCCTGAAGAAGATCAAATCTTGATCAATTATATTCATCTTTATGGTCATTCTAATTGGCGAGCTCTTCCCAAACACGCAGGTCATTTTCATTTCAATCTTCATTATATATATATATATGTTTTTTCTCTCTTTTGTATTGATTATCTATAATTGTGATATGTAAGCAATTTTGTTGATGATTTTGTGGATTTTTGTGTTTTAGGTTTACTTAGATGTGGAAAAAGTTGTAGACTTCGTTGGATCAATTATCTGAGACCAGACATCAAACGTGGCAATTTCACTCCTCAAGAAGAACAAACTATCATCAATCTACATGAATCTTTAGGCAACAGGTTTGTCTCTCTTTTTTTTCTTTCTTAAGAAAAAATGAATTATTATATGATAAATATTAGTTCAACAATTTTGATTACCTTATTTCTTTTCTTTTTATCATCCATTTTGCAAATTCGGTTTGATTTGGTTACTGTGAGTACACTTTACCCAATCTAAATTTACAAATGTTTTTTTTTTTTTTGAAACTTTGTTTTCTTGCAATTTGTAAACTAATTTGACATTGTGGGGATGAGGAGATTCCTGCCCGTGATTACCTCAGTCTAAATCAATATCTCTTCATAGTTTTTTTTTTAAATTATTAAAGAAAAACTAAACAGTCTTCACAGTATTACTACTAGACAAAATTATTGCACCTTGATCAATGCAAAACATATGCCATATCTTACCTTTACATCTCCATGTTTTCTGCTTCAAAAAGCAATATTAAAGTAATAAATTGATCTTGTGACAACAAAAAAAAGTAATAAATTGATGAAATCTATACTATATTGAATTTAGTTTTTTTTTTTTAATAGTATTAAGTTTGTTTGTTTGTTTGTTATTAATTTAGATGGTCTGCGATTGCTGCAAAGTTACCTGGACGAACCGACAATGAAATAAAAAATGTTTGGCATACTCATTTGAAGAAAAGACTCAACAAAAATCAAAACAATGACGGAGATACCAAAGAGATAAACAGAATCAACAAGAAGACCACAAAGAAAGACAAAGAATCATCTGTGATTGTCGACACAAACTCTAGTAGTGT